GACGATGAAGGCGTACTTTTTTTTGTTTTTTTTTGTTGTTATTGGTGTTGTTTTTTGTGTGTGGGGTGGGAGGGTTACGTATTTCTTACATCTTTTCTTTTGCCCTCGGTGTTTCCTTCCCTCCGTGACTGGCGGGGAGGTGGCAGGTGGCGATGGGTTTTCTGCCGCACCGCTCACGTGTGATTTGTTTTTACTTATTTTTTGTTGTTGCTTCTTCTCCCTTTTCTTTCCTTCTCGCTCGCGCGCGCGCGCCACACCCGCGCAGCATCGTCTCGCTTCTCGCGCAGCCGCAGGCAAAGGGATGTTGGTGGACGACTATGTCGTGGAGGAGCGCATGAGCGTGTGGCAGAAGAAGAAGGTGCGCACGTACGTCGTGAACGGGCGCTCGAAGGTGTCCTCCCGGCGCTCCATTGCGGGCGCCCTCGCCGTGGCGAAGCCGTACGACCGCATCGAACTCGTGGGCGGGGAGTACTTTGAGGCCCTCTCCATCAGCATCCCGCTCGAGATCGTCGCGGCGGAGGGCGAGGACCCCTGCATCTCCTCCCGCGGCCCCTGCATCACCATGACGCAGGATGTAGAGGTCTACTTTGAGCACGTTGAGTTTGTCTCAAAGGGCAAGGGGAAGTTGGAGTCCGCGGTGGCCCTCATGAACGGCAAGGCGGTTTTCTTTCGATGCAAGATGAACTCCATTCTCATTGGCGGGTTTGCCAGGCCGGTGCTGGAAAACTGCACCGTCGCCGAAAGCTACAACGGCTACGGGGTTCAGATCGGCGGCAGCGGGGGGGCGCAGATCAGCGGCTGCACCATCCACACCCACCAAATGGCCGGGGTGGCGATTGACACGAAAGGGGCCGTCGTGCTGCGCGACAGCACGATCCGGCAGCCGGCGAACGGTGGGCACGCGGTGCGGGTGCAGGCGACGCAGAGCGCCGTGGACGAGCGCACCCCCGCCGAAAACCTCGCGTGTAGGAAAGTCGTCGTCAACGCGTGCCGCATCTACGTCTCCTCGGAGATGTTCCGGCCGAAGGAGCGCGAGTGGGGAGGGGGCGAGAAGTTCGTTGGGCCCCCGAGTTGCGTGGTCATCTCGCGAGGCGCCTGCCCCGTGTTCAAGTACAATGAACTTCTCGAGGGCTTTGTTGGCTTCACCTTTGAGTTCTCCGGCGCCGCCGTGCTGGAGGGGAACTCCATATACAACCAAAGGCACTGCGGCATCCTTGTCGTCGTGGACGAGCGAAGTTACTCGTCGGACGCAAAACAAAATGTTCGCATAACCGGCGGCAACGTGATTGACCGCTGCCTCATCGGGGTGGACATACACTGCATGGGCAAGGTTAGGACGCCGCTGGCCACCGCGCAGGAAACGCTCCTCCCCCAGGAACTTCCCTCGTCTCGGAACTCGTTTGATTGGATAGAAAAGGTGCAGCAGCTGGAGGACGAAAACCCCGCGGCGCCGCAGAGTGCCGAGGAGGGAGTTCCGGTCACCGTCAACGGGCGCACCATGGCGTTGGCAGAGTTGAAGGAAAATTTGCGAACACTTGCCAAGTTGGTCTGTGCGGGGCATCCATCCCATTTTTCCGGCGGGGAACCCGGCGAAATGCGTGCCGGGAACACAGGGGGCAACCCGTTACGAGAGCTGGTGCAAGAGGCCTTCAAGCTCTCGCTGCCGCTGCCAAACACCATCGACTGCGCGGCGCAGCTGCTGAGGATTCGGGGGAACAAGGGCGTGGATATACTGGATACCCGCTTCTCCGGCTGTGGGTTGTGCGCGATTCGCTTCGGAAACGACGGCTACGGCCTTGTTGAGGACTGCGACTTTCTCAACTGTGGAGCGACGGCCATTGTCGTGAGTGGAGGGGCCCACCCGCTGATTGTGGGGTGCAAGTTTGACAACTCCAAAGGGGCGGGCGTGTTCGTGGACAACTTCGCCAACCCGCTCATCATGGGCAACGAAATCTCGCAGAGCGCCGAGCACGGCATTGAGTTTCGCAACCTGTCGCGTGGAATTGTGATGGGGAATTTAATCTTTGGCAACTCCCAGAGCGGGATCCTTGTGACGGGGGGCAGCACCACGATGATCGTCGGCAACGTCATCCAGCACGGTCTCTCCGGTGGGGCGACGATCTCGGGCGAGAGCAAGCCGGTGGTGATGCTGAACAAGTTCCTGTCTAACCCAGTCGCCCAGCTGCTGGTGTGCGAGTACTCCATGCCGTTTATTGCCGGCAACAACTTTGTGTCTGGGCAGGGCTGCGGCATTCGCTTTGAGTCCTGCAGCGGAGGGACGGTGGTGGACAACACCCTCGCCCACAACGAGCGGGGAATTGTGGTGGAGCTCGACTCGGACCCGTACGTGATGTCGAACAAAATCACCCACAGCCACCGCTACGGTGTGGTGGTGGGCAACAACGGCCTCGGCACGTTTGTCGCGAACGAAATTGGGCAGAGCGGCAGCTGCAACTTTCTCGTGCAGGAGGGCGGCTCGCCGGTGGTGCGCGACAACGCCATCACGGGCGGGCACACGGGCGGCATCGCCGTGATCGCCGAGGGGGGCGGGGTGATGGAGCACAACTACCTCGGCGAAAATGCGCTGGGGAACGTCATTCTGCTGGACCGCTTCAGTGATCCCGTCATTGCGCACAACACGATCACCAACTCCTTCAGCGGCTGCGGCATCATCTGCGGTCGCGAGGCCCGGGGGGAGTTCCTGCACAACAGGGTGCACAAAAACAAACAGTGCGGGGTTTACGTGATTGGCAAAGCCAACCCCACGTTTGTCAACAACGCCATTACCTACGAATCGGTGGGTGTCATCATCTCCGACAGCGGCGGAGGGACATTTAAGGCAAACACCATTCATGCATGCTACGGCTCCGGTATCATTATTCAGCTGAGCGGCAATCCGGTTATCGCGGGAAACGGCATCTCCGGCTGCTTCCTCAGCGGCATTCTGGTGTCCCCCGATAGCAGCGGGACGGTGACGGAAAACAACTTCTTTGAAAACGACGTCGGCGTGCAGCTTGGCTCCACCTTGGGGACCGCCACGCTTGACGTCGAGGTCGGCTTCCTGACGAACTCGCCCGCGACACCGCCGTCGTTGGGCGCTCGCGACAAAAAGGGGTCGCTGAAGCCGCGGCGCTCCGTGACTCTCAGCGTGGAGGGCGAGAATGGGGGCGGCGGGCGTGGCAAGCTCCCGCCGACGATGATACGGCACAACAAGATTTACGCGAATACGACGTGTGGGGTGTTGCTGGAGGAGGCCGCCTACGGGGTGTTGGAGGAAAACGAGATTGAGTCAAACGGCAACTGCGGCGTGGTGGCGGATGTCGGGTATAGTGAGAGACGTGTGCGGGAAAAAAGGGACGGGCACCCCGTGCACGGCGGCTGGAAGTTGCTGCAGGGGGAAGCGGGGGGCGGGTCCGCCACGCTGCGCAGAAATCGTATTCACCGGCACAAGCAGGCCAACATCGCCATTGTAGACCACGCGGAGAACGGCATCGTCATCGCCGCCAACGACGTGTTTGAGGCGCCAACAGGCGTCTACGTGGGCAACGGCGCCACGATACACTCCATTGAGGGCAATACGATTCACGGCAGCTTCGACGGCGTCTACGCGGAGAGCGGCGGACGCGGGTGCTTTGAGAACAACAGGATTTACGACTGTGACGGGGTTGGGGTCTACGTCTGCGACCGGGCGAATCCCCACTTCAAGCAGGGGAACATCATAGAAAATTGCCACATTAGCGGCGTTTTTGTGGATGCCGGCGGGCGCGGTGTGTTCTCCAACGCGATCATCCGTCGCTGCGTTGTGGGGGTGGTGGTGTACACCTGCCTGCCTCTTTCCTCGATTGTGCGGCAGGAGGATTTCCTGCGGAGCGGGTTTGTGACCTCCGCCCCCACGTTTAGGCAGTGCAGCATCGAGGAGCACGACCTGCACGGTGTGCTGGTCCTCACGGTGGCGACGAGCTTTCCCCTGCGCAACCCCTCCTACGGCGTCGCCGGGCACTCGCCAAAGTCCGACGGCCTCATGAAGACTCCGGGCGTCTCCGTCTTTCCGCAGTTCTACCAAAACACGATTCGCAACAATCGTCACTTTGGCGTTTGCCATGAGATGTACGACTCCTCGGAAATGCGGGATGAGACGCACTTCCCGCCGCCCCAGGAGCCCCCCGCCAAGGCCCGGCGGGTGGTCAAAAACGCTCTTTTTCCGCATCATCTTAAGCGGCATGTGGAGAACGCGCACCGGTCGCATTTTGCACCTCGTGACTCCCTGCAGGAGGCCTTGGGAACCTCGGCGGTGCTTGCGACGAAGGAGCACCACGAGGGGCGGATGCAGCGGCAGGTGAGCTTCATAGAAAACACCATCACCAACTGCTCGGTGGGTGTGGTGGTGGGGGGGAGCTGTCACCCGTTTTTGCTGCGTAACCGCATAGACCACAACGCCTTCTTTGGCATGCTCCTGCGTTCCCGGGCCAAGGCCGTCTGCTTTGGCTGCGAGGTTACGGACAATGGCATGGCCGGGCTGTACGTTGCGCAGGGCTCACTTGGCACCTTCACCGGTGGCACGATTTCTCGCAATAACGGCTTCTGTCGCCCCGATGGCAACCCGCATGACCCGCGCTCCTTTGCCGGTCTTCCCTTCACGCGGTCGGGGTTTGCGACGCCAAGCGTACCCGTTGCGAGCGACGAAAGTCCACGCGTCGCCTTTAAGTCCGTCCTGCGCAGCATGGAAAACTACGCAAACACGGCGGCGGAGGGGCTGCATGCGCTGTGCGAGCTTCTCGCCGCCTCCTCGGTGGGTCTCTCGCTCGCCTCTGGGATATGCCCGAGTGTCTCGCTCGAGTCCGGCATGTCGCTTGGGGCGGGGCCGCAAACGGACAGGTACGACCGCGGCTGGGCCGCCGACGGTGGCATGGGGGTGTGGCTGGTGCAGGGGAGCATGATGGAGGTCAGGGACAACGTGATCGAGGCAAACCGCAGCGTGGGGATTTTCTACTCGCGCAACCTGCAGCAGCACCACCTGAACCTGTCGCGGTTTGCCGTGGCGCCCCTGGACGGCTTTCCGCGGGTTCCCGGCGGCGAGGTGATCTCCGGCGCGATGCGCAGCCCGCGGGAGGCGGCGGCGGCGCGGTGGGTGTTCTTCACCTCCACCGTCGCCCACTCCGCCGCGGGCGACCCCGCGCGGATTTCCGCCTCGCCCAACGCCAACCACAGCTTCACCGAGAGCTGGCGTGCCTCCACGCCGCCGCAGAGCTCCGATGTGCCGCGGCAGACAGACGCGCCCGTCTACGAGGGGGATCGCCCGTACATACTGACACGCCCAGCGACGGTGACCGGCAACCGCGTCACGAAGAACGGCGCCGGAATTGTGATGCATCTGCACCACGTGATGACGGCAAGCGCCGTGACTGGCGGAGATGCCGCCGGGGAGGCCGACGCGGCGGAGGCGGCGGCGGCCAGGGCAAGGCGTGAGCGCAGCCCCAGCACCGCCAAGAAGTCGTCCCGCCGGCAGAAGAAAAAGGCGTTGCTGAATGCGCTGCCGCGCTTCGGGGAAGGAGGGAGCTCCGCCGCCCCCACGGCGAGTAAAGAAGTCGCGGAGGGAGGAAAGCCTCCGCGGGAGGAGGCGGAGACGAAGTCGCTTTCCCCGCAGATGCCAACTGGCGCGCCCCGCGGAGGGGCCGACTTCTCTGTCGATATGGAAGCCAACCACGTGTACGAAAACCACGGTGTTGGAATTCTTTGTCTACACGTTGTTGAGGCCATGTGTGGCCATCACGTGAAGTCGCGCCTGGACCTGGAAACGGCAGTCGCGGAGTACAACGATGTATGTGTTAAAATTACACTTAGACGTGAGTTGATGCGGCCCAAGTTGCACTTTGCCCTCCTCGCGCAGGAGCGTATGACGCGTCACGCACGCCTCAACGGGAATGAGGTGTACAGGAACGTTTTGGAGCAGCTGCAGGTGACCTCTCGCTATGTTGTGATCTCGCAAAACTGCATGCGGACGCTGCTGCAGGTGGATACCTTGCGGCAGCCAAACGCATCGATGTGTTCCTCCCAGGCGCTTCTGCGCATTCCTCTCTTTGCCTCCCTGATGTCCGCCGCCCCGCCAGGAAGTCTGATGATTGAAAACAATCGCTTCCGGGACAGTGAAAAAGGACTCCATGTTGTGGGCTTCGTCGGCGGGAACTCTCTCTTACTGCGTCACAACAGCTTCGCCAACATTGCGGGGGCGGCCGTCCTGCTGCAGGGGCACCTCGCCTCCGCCACCATCGGGGGCGGCAACGTGTTTGAGGCGAACGAGGTGGGGGTCCGCGTGGCTATGCCAGACAACGGCGTCACGGCGGAGGACGTCGCCTGGATGCAGGCCATGGGGGTGAACACGCACGTGCACGACAACCACTTCTGCGCCCCAAAACACGCTTCCGTGATAGTCGAGGGCGGTGGGGCGCCCCCGCCTGTGTTTGAAGACAACAAATTCTCTGCCCACATGAGCGGCTCTGCGGCGTTTTTTATTGCGGGTCCAAACGCTTGCACACGCCTGGTGAGGAACGCGTTTGTGGATAATTATATCCCTGTCATTATTGCAAATAAAGCCGGCACGAGCGAGGAGGGGGACGGCAGCGTTGTTGTGGAGGGGAATCGATTTACCCGGAACTTCATTGGGCTCCTGGTGGCCGATGGAGCGGCTCCGCGACTCGTGCACAACGTGTTTGAGGCTCACTACCGCACAGGTCTGGAAATCGTGGGCGAGGCCACAAAACCTGCGGTGCAGCATTGCATGTTTGCCTCGAACAAACGCTCCGAGGCGAACGCGCAAGATGCAGAGTTGTTTCGGTGCCCTGAAAATGGCGAAGTTCGACTTGGCCCCAACTTGGACGTGGTGGCGACGATCGTCGCGGACAACACGGCATCTGCGGTGCCAGGCAGACGGCTTCCGTCGGGCGTCCTCGTCAGCGGCGGGGGCGAGGGCGGCGCCATTCACGAGTGTCTCTTCAAGGACAACGACATTGGCGCCGACGTGGTGGGTAGCGTGGCCCTCGCGGAGGCGACGCTGGGGCGGGTGTGCGGGATTCGGCTGAGCTCGTGCCTGTTCAATGAGAACAACGTGGCCGGCGTGTGGGTGCGCGGGGAGGCGGTTTCCGCCGGCAGACGCGCCACCGTCCCTTTTAGCCTGAGCAGCAGCGGCGACGAACACGAGGGGACCGTCGTCGACGGCTGCTTCTTCGCCCACAACACCAACGACGCCGCGGGCAAAGGCGACGTGGTCGCCGTCGACGGGGGCTTCGCGGTGCTGCGGAACAACCTCTTCTCGGGCTCGGTCCACGGCATGAAGGACGGCACGGCCCTCTTTGAGCGAAACACCTTCTACCCGGAGGCCGCCGAGGTGGCGGTGTACCTGCACAAGGCCGCACGTATTCGCCTCGTGGGCAACATTATTCGCGGCCACAAAAACGGATTCATTACATCCCCCGCCGCCTGGGGTCATGTGGAGAAGAACTGGATGGTAAACACCAGCCGCGCCGTCTGCGCCGCCCCCTTCTGCCACACGTTTTTTGTGCGCAACCGCATCATCAGGGCGAAGGACTGTGGCGTTTTGGCGTACGGCGGTGTCTTTACAGACAACGAGGTCTGCTGGAGCCCAACCGGTGTCATTGTGCAGAACCCGATGGAGTACAAAAACTACAGCAGTATACCCAATTCGGAAAAGACGGCGTTTGATGCGTTGATTTCGGAAAATCGTGTCCACTCGTGTGAGGGAGACGGCATCTTGGTCGCCGGCGGCGCCCGCATTGAGGGCAACAGCGTCTTCAACTGCAAAACCAACATGAATGTTATTTGCCCGCCAAACGCGAGTAGTGGCGCGGGCGTCGCTGCCATCTCGAAGAATGCCCTCTACGACGGCGAGGTGGGGCTTGTCATGGCAAAGGGGTCGGAGTCCGTGATTCGCGACAACGACATCTTCGACAACAACCTGCTGGGGGTGTGGATTAAGGCAGGCGCCTTGGGCACGATGCAGGGGAATTCCATTTCCAGCTCCCTCCGCGATGGCGCATTCGACGTGGAGGCGGGGGCGGATGTGAAAGTGCTGCAGAACAGCATACGAAACCAATTCTCGCCATCGTACCACAAGACACTCCCAATGCATCGTGAAAAGGAGCGACAAAAGGCGGCGGAGGTCTTGGCTATGGAACTCACGGGGTTGGAGGACGCGTTCCGAGAGCTGCTCTCGCGGCGCAATGCTCTGCAGGTGGTCATGCGGGCCATACTAGAAACGATGAAGGAGGAGGACTTTACCGGGGACAGCCTGGGGACGATAGGCTCCATGACGCTGGCTGGCCAGCCGTCCCGGGCCCTGCGCAGCTTCGCCCAGACCCAGAACGTTGTGGAGCTGCTTGGCCTCCCCAACACACGGGAGGCTAGGCGGTTTTCCATGGACAAGACGATGTCGATCTCCGCGCTACGGGCCTCGAAGACCGTGAACCGCCGCATGAGCCAATCCACCTCCTCTGCGTCGAGGGAAGAGTACCGGCAGGTGCTCATCTATGTCTGCAGCACGGACAAGGAGACGCTGGGGAGCACGGAAATCGGCAAGGCGGTGGAGGCCGTTTTCACCTCCGTCTCGCAGTCCTCGCGGGTCATGTTCCGCGCCGCGCTCGAGGCCAACCCCAGTGGGTTTCATGCCTCCGTGACGGCCCAAATGCCGGACGTCATCGTTGTTACCGTGGCCGCGGGGAAGAAGACGTTCAACGCGGCGGAGCTGAGCGTCTTTGCCACCATTGAGCGCCTGAGTCGCGCGAACAACACAAGGCGGCGTGGCAAGAAGGGCGGTGTCTCGTGCGTCTTTACGCTTCTTCCGGCGGAGTGGAGAGCCAGCGTCGAGCAGCAGGCGTCTCAGAGAAAAGGTGATGCCCCACTTACGGGACTAGAATACTTCGCCGCCTCGCACAACCCCATTTACTTTAACTTTGCCGTCTCTGAGGCCTTCTCCGAACTGGTGCGGCGCCTGGAGAGCGAGGCGGCCGCCCAGTCGGTTTCCCAACCGGATGTGAGCATCAGCAACCTGCGGGTTGCGGACGCGGCACTCAAGCCCCCAAGGGGGGGAGGTGGTCGTCGCTCCTTCGCCTCGGCGCCGCAAATAGAGCCGGTCGCTTTGCTGCCACGGAAGCTTGCTCCTGCGCGGTCCCCCATGAGTGCGACACCGGGGGCGCGCGAGGAGAGATGACACGAACGGCAGTGACAAGAGCGAAGAGAGAGAGAGGGAAGGAATGATGATAATAATAAGGAAGAGGGGAGAGGAGGGGGAAAGAGGAGGAAGAGGGGAGGGGGGAGAGGAAGTGGGAGGTGAGGCCACGAACGAAGTCCTTATCTGGGCCGCGCGGAATGGTGTTGCTCCGTCAGCGCACGTTGGCACCGTTGGGAAAGAAAACTCCACGCAGCGGGACCCAAAACGAGGCAGCCAACGCATGGTTGAGAAGGGAGGGGATCGTTTTGTTACGCTGCGTCCGACCCCTTGCCGCTGCCCTTTTTTGCTGCGGAACTTTTGCGAAGCTTTGATTTAGGACTGTGTGTGTGTGTGTGTGTGTGTGTT